TTGCATCGAATTTTGTGATTACAATCTACCTGTATTGTAGTTATTTGCTTAAGTGGTCTCCTAAAAGTATATTTTTTGTTTTTTATTTTAGGGTCGTTAATTTTATAGCCATAGCATGGTGTTATAGTATAGTCTGTATAGTTGAGTTTTTAGTGATGAATCGTTGCATCATTTTGCTTTATAGATGTGATCTTGCCAATGCTGAGCTGTGTAGGGTCAGCAATCCATTTTAGTTTTTTAGTAGAGGCTTTATGCCATATATATAGGTTTGGTATAATTAGCTTAGTTTTGTTGATCAAGATTTCTTTCTGTACTATGTTAGTTAATTCTGTGAACCATTTTGGTTTTCTGCCATGTGGGATTTTTTGAATTGTTTGCGGAAGGTGTGTCCAAGAAATAGTGTTTGTTTGTGTAATATTTGTAATTTGCTTAATTACAAATAGACCTAGCCTGTTAAGGCTTTTTTTTAACTAAATATAAAGTTTTGAGATATTGAAGTACTGTGTTGATCGAGAGTCCTGGTTTTATTAGAGGTATGGGCCAGCTGTTATTTTGGTTTTCTAATAAAATCTGTGTATTTTGTAGACTTTTGATTATCTGAGCTGAGGGTGAGAGGTGTTCGGGTTGTGCTATTATATAGTTATAATATTGAAGAATGGATTGTGTGGTTGCAGCTACATTTTGTAGTTGTTGGATTCTAATTTTGAAGGTTGATGTGTCGAACTCTGGGTGGTTAAGTTGGTATAGAATGAGAGAGATGTGTTGCTGGTTTTGGATATCTTCTACTGTTTTTAGGGCATATATTGCATTGTGAAATATTATTGAGTTTGGGATTAATGTAGCAAGGCCTGCTTTGTGCTTTACGAGACTAGTGTATGTGTTGGTAATTTGGGTGCATATGATAGGTGGCAGAGCTGTGTTTTGTATTCTGTAGCTGATTCTAGTAAGGATAATGGCATTAATTATATATATTGCTTGTTTATCAGTAATTTTTGCTTTTTTTAGTTTTGTTAAAGCATTTGCTGTTTCTGTTTTAATTATGTTGTGTATCAGGGTTTGCTTTTTTGCCATTGAAAACCAGCATCCTAGAAATCTGAATGCCTGTTTTGGCTTTATACTTTCTATGATAGATTCATTGAAAGTGATACTGGGTGAATCTGTCGAGTTGAGAGTTGCTAGTACTGATTTGTTCAGGTTAACTTTAATGTTTGTTAGTTTGTAAAAGGTTGTTGCAGTGTGGAGGAATACTAGCATAATTCTAAAAAAATTTAAATTTTGTTTTAATAAAATTTATTTATTTTTTATTTATATTTTGTAATTTACAGATAATAATTATTTGTAATAAATTGTTATTTTTAAAAAATTTTTTTAAATTAAAATTTAATTAATATAATTTTGTTAAATTAGTATTTTTATAACTACAAGTAAACTAAATTAATATAGTCATTTTATACAATTACACACTAAAAAGTATAAAGAAAAAATATACTTTTAGGAGACCACTTAAGCAAATAACTACAATACAGGTAGATTGTAATCACAAAATTCGATGCAA